ATGGAAAGTGAGTTATACAACGGACACCTGAGCGAACCGTGAAAGGCAAGCGTTAATGTCAGCCGCCGTGGTCAAGGTTTAAGTTTTTTGGATACTTGCCTCACGCGATTTTATTTTGGTCAGCTTTGTGTTTTGACCGCAAATATATAATTTTAAAAACCGTAAAACGGCGATAAAATCTATAAAAATTGACTCACCTGTTTCAAATGCTTACAATTTTTGGCCAGTTTTTATATGTGTTTGGGATTCATAAATTAAACTCTTTTTCGGTCGCTATAATAAGCTCTACCTACCTAATAAGTCAATCTTACTGACTCTTAGGCTGAGTTGCACCACCTAACTTTGACGAAAACTTCAGCGATAACCGATGATTTTTGTACAGAGTTTGACAGATTTTGGACGTTTGTTAAAGTCAAAGTAAGATGGTGCAATCCAGCCTTAATATTACAAGCGGATTTTCCTGAAATTACAACAATTATTGTGTTATATGATTTTAAATTCGGACATCAAAAAAAGTGTAGAGCACTTTCTACACCTTCACTTATTGAATGATTAATGTGCTCTGCATTATATAAAACACAAAAGGCGAAATATTAGTAAATGGCAAGAAAGTTCATTGTCTCCTAACAAAAGAAAGGCGGGTGATAGAAACGAGAGCGAGACAAAAAGCGTGGATCGAAAGCGAGAGTAATCGGTCTAGGTTGTGTCGGGGAGGCGCGCGCGCCGGCAACGGTACTCGGCGTAAGCTACGGTACCGCTCGTAGGGCGACCCCCGATCCCGTAAGCTAGTGTTGCGATGGTCGATGACTCTAAAACTATCGATTGAACTTTAGTAATGTAATCGATCAAAAATATTTTAGGGCACTAAAGTTTTTGAGCAATTCTTAACGAAACTATTCCTATCATTTTCTTATACTCTTTCCCACGATATATTTCATGTCTTACGAAACCTTAAAGCTAAGCTAATCTTAATAAGTAGTTATTTACAATGCTTGACTAACATAAGTACTTGGAAAAAGTATGCATAATAACTTAAACATACATACAAGCCTCACTAGGCTATACTTTCTACCCGGCGCTTGTTCATCAAACGAGACAATCTTAGTGAAAGTGTACGGAAGCATGATAGAGTATAACTTATTATTATGAACGGGTAATAAAACATTACAGTTTAGATGACATAGATTAAATAGCTGTATAACTTTTGTGAAAACAGCATTTAGATCATTCTCATTGATATATTTGACAATTTAAACATTTGTATCGATATTTTTTTTTATTTGAGATTATAATTATCGATGGGGTTTGTAAAGCATCACTATTATTGCCACCGGTCAGGCACCACTGAGACCTTAACCACTTTCTCTTTCGATGACCGCCGATCGTGGTTCTTGTACGAGTGTGTCACAGGCACGGACGCATATCCGTATACGGTTTGTGTATGTCCGTGTGTGTTTGTCAGTATTCTCCGTTACATCACGCAACTTTGGCTGACGCATCCGTTGAGCGAAAGGTCAGTATCTATTTATAGGTCCGTTGCGCTCACTTTCCATAAGAATGTCTTTGATTTGATTTAGTTTCGGTTAAAAGATCGTTCACCTTTGGAGATTAAGGAATTTAACCGGGCAATGATGCTGATTAACAGCGTTGTCAACTCTTTAGGACATTTTTTTCTGAATTAATTAATAATTGCTGATTTTTTTTTAAATTTCTTTGGAGTTACACTTTGGATAACATTGGTTATGAATATCCGCTAATAAAATGCAATTAATCACGGGAACTGACAGTCTGATCTCTAACATTTATTATGCTTCAGGATACTGTCCAATACTGTCCAGGGACACTGTCCAGGGGCAATAAATAGCCTGACTCTGGGCCTGGGGGGTATTTTATGTTCTTGTAAGTATAAAACCCAGGAGATTTTATAGATATACAAACTCTATGTAGAGTCAGAGTTTTCTGTCTCAAATACGGCATTGGTTTTGTTGCCTATCACGAAAATCGTGCGACAAAATAATTTTGTTACTGGATAATTCGCAATCATAACTCACAGAGACAGCCTTGGACCAAGCTAGCGCGTGGGAAACCCTATCATACGCGACACCTGACCGCCAACGACTGCATTTAACGTTGCCAACGAAATAGCTTAGCAGAGGCATTAAATGTCTCTCATATTTGTCAATTTTAAAATAACATAGTTTTTTTTAAGGCCCGGTTTCTGAATTGAGATTTCTAGCTTGAGCACTCACCTTTTACTTAAGGATGAATTTAGTATTAAAAGTTTATATTATGAGCATGCTCAAGCCAAAATATCAACAGAAACCTAAAAAGCGGGCCTAAGACGTTTCCAGGATTTGGCAACCCCCTGGCTGGTGGTTCGTGTACCGGCGGACTATTATGCTAGAGCTTGCAGGTTTTGATTCCCGCACAATATCAATGTTGTGTGCATGAACGTATCTGTTTGTATAGATGTATAATAATTATACATACTTGTATATTTATGTTTATGTACGAGTATATCCGTACAAATAGTACACAAGCTTTGCTTAGTTTGGGACTGGATGGAGCAGTACCTATGGACATTTATTATTTAATGGTCAGACAGTCTTGATCTGAATGTCAGCCTATAGTGTTGTTCAGTGGTGTCAGAGTACATTTATTAATGACACTTTATAGCTCAGACAATCACACTATGCATTTTATGATACGTGTGTAGGCATTTACTATACACAATGTTAGATGATTTTATGGTCTTATCATCATTGACCCTAATTTCATGCGGCCGCCTCTGCGCTTGCCTGATGATGACTAACTGTCATATAATTTGAGCCTGCGTGTGTTACCAGTTTTTTATGTAATTGGTTATTTGTCACGGTCACTGCAAATCAAAACTGTTCGAACAGAACTGTAGCTAATAATCTAAATCTGAAGTATCAACATTGACGAAAAAAGCTTGTATTGAAAATCCAAAACATCATGCTTAAAATGGTAGAGTTAGTTACGCTTAGGTAAGAAACGTTGCTATCAATGTTGTCATTTTTGTAATTATTCAATTTGAAACCAATTATTAAGACTGATCAAAACATATATTTACATTGACTGAATAAAGTCATAAACAAGTCTAAATATAGTTGTATATCGCAAAATCTAATTACTAATTAAAGTTACAAACTAACACCACGAAAGTAATTTAAGATTCATTTTATTATAGTCAATGACACTCCGAAACAGAAGGATAAATTAATCGATTAACCCACTATTATATCGTAATTTGCGAGTTCTTGGTTTTATTACTTATAATGTAGTCATCAAAAGCGTTATTAGATTCTTAGAAAGCATTATCGTCTCTATTACCTATATTAACAATGACATTCATTTTAAAAGATAAACAAAGCTCGAGCAGCAAAACTAAAATTAACTTAATTTAGTATTGTAATTTTATTTGGCTATAAATATTCTAATTTCTGTTGCATTATTCAGATATCATTTGACTACGCGTGATTCTATTTTTTCCATTGCTGTACTAAACGATGGAAAAGCAGGCTGTAATATGACTATCAAATAGTTTGGAATCATATCGAAGCTTCTAATGTATTGAGAGTTTAATCCAATGAATCATTGAAATAAAGATCCGTTACATTTATGTAAACGTTACGTGTATGCATAAACGATTTTTCACTGAGCGTCTATTGCGCACATAGATGGCATCACTGCATTTATACATTCCTAGTCACAATGCATCACCTTGCAAGCGTTCGTTGACGCATAGACGTTTTGTCCGAGCGACCTTAGGCTCGCTGCGTGTTAAACTACTAATAACAATATCGAATCTAACACGTCCCGCTCACTCTTACTTATACTATTGTAGAACGAGGGGGACAGAACTAGCGAATGATGAATTTAGCTGGGTACAGAATCGACGTTCACCTTCATAAAGGTAAAGTATGGACGGCGCTAACGAAAACGAAGGGCGATAGTCGCTTCAAGTGTTTGAAGGTAACCAGCTTAGGTTACTACAACTGCATAGACTATGCTACTGAATATTATGATTGTGCATAATTGTGCAGTGCCTAGGATCAGTTGCGAAACATCCATCACTCGCTATCCAATTACCACCCAGTCCGAAACCATCAGCCCAAGATATGTGTAGTTGAGAAAAACAAATTATCTGATTCTGAATTATTTGTTGCTATGAACTTCCAAGAAAACTAGCATAAGCTTAATACAAGTATGTAGATAAAGTCATCTCTGTCCATCTAGGAATTATTTATAGTTTCTAGAATAATAGGTATCAGTGTCAGTAAATATGTGAACTAGTTGCATTTTATTGACCATATATCAAGCGTTGGTCCAACATTTGAGCTCAATTACTAATGATAGCGAGTTTGTGATGTCCTATTGAAGTTTGTTATCGGTCTGCTGTAACAAATATAAACTGTGTCTTTACCTACTTCTGCTAAACAAACTAAAATACCTTTACTTCCTTTTATCTACGAATACTAAAACTCTTATCGCGAAACCGTTTTGTTTTAACGCAAGTGACGTCAGTTCTACACATCCTTTCCCGCTTTCTCTGTCCTTCATGAACGGTAACATCACAAATGAAATATATTCCAACTGTTTTCAGTCGTAGTTCCTAACTGGCTAATAATAAGGTTTGTTTTGCCTTGTTGCTTTGTAGTTTAGATATCGGTATGACACGCATTTGTCAAATAAGTAGATTTTATCAGCAAGATTAATCTCGCGGTTTGCCCGGTGAAAGTTTTGACGAAAGGTGAAATGCAGCTGCCATTTAGGATTGTTTATTTTTATGAGCTCTATTAACGTTCCTTTTAGTGTGCTCTACATTTTATTAGGAAAAATCAACGAGCCCATTTTAAATGTAATTTTATTTGCATGGTTTTATAAATACCCGTAGTTTTTGAAAGGATAAGAAAAGCCTGTGGCAATTGATATGAAACAAGGTAGAGCTAATGGAGGGAATCTTCATAAAAACCAGCTTTTCAGGAACAGTTATTTATTACGATGTTACGAGTACAATGGTGACTTTCAAAATTTAATTAGGAGCGCGGTACGTGCGTGCGGCGCGGTGTCTGACGGCGAGTGAGAGGAGAACGGCGAATGTATGAATACGCCGAACGATGCTCGGGCGCCCTTCAGTGGGGGGCGGAGTTTTGTGCGTTGACAGGCTCCCCGGGTTGAAACGCTGAAGCGTTTAAAATGATCAGGGTAGTGGGCAAAGTCTGTTGTATGCCCTTCGCAATACTCCTGCCGATGTGTTGACGTCCACGACGCGGGCGATGCTGTCACGGCCGGGATGGAGGCAGGCAACTCGTCCCAGCAGCCAGCGGTTAGGTGGGAGGCGGTCGTCTTTCACCACCACCAGGTCTCCAATGCGCAGCTCTCCACCTTTGGTTGATTGCCACTTTGTTCTCTTCTGCAAGTCTGAAATGTATTCTAGGTAGTAACGATTCCAGAAATGCGTTATGAGCGCCTGAGCGCGACGATAACGTGGCAACGTTTGTATCCTGGCGGGGTCTTCTTCAGCAATCTGAGGATGAGGCAACATTGTGAGTGTTCGTCCGATAAGAAAGTGAGCAGGCGTCAGAGGTACCAGGTCGTTAGGATCAGATGAGAGGGGAGTTAGGGGACGTGAATTTAGAATTCCTTCTATACCTATAAGAACGGTATTCATTTCTTCATAGATTAAATTAGTCATTGAAGTAACTCGCTTTAAGTGGTGTTTAATAGATTTAACAGAACTTTCGGCTAAGCCGTTGAAATGGGGACTGTATGCGGGTGAAAATTTAAAGATTATAGACTGCTCCGCTGCCTTTTCACTTAAATCATTACACTTTACACGTAAAAATTTAGCTAATTCATTGGCGGCCCCTACGAAATTAGTTCCGTTGTCGGAATAGATAAAGCTGGGCTTACCCCTGCGCGATATAAATCTGTTCAAGGCAGCCATGAATGACTCCGTGCTCAGATCTGTGACCAGTTCCAGGTGCACTGCCCTTACAGCAAGGCAGACAAATACGCAAATGTATGACTTAATTAATTGACAACCCCTACCCTTTCTATTGGCAATCAAAATTGGACCTGCATAATCTACAGCTGTATTAAAGAAAGGAAATTGACTATAAAGTCGTTCATTTGGAAGGCTGGCCATTATAGGCTGAATAGTCTTGCCTGTGAATCTACAACATGTGTGACATTCATGTGTTATTTTTCTAGCTAAGTTACGGCCTCCCACTACCCAAAACCTATGCCTAATGATTGACAATAACAATTGGGGCCCTGGGTGCATTAGGATTTTATGATAATATTTAAATATTAATTTAGTAATATGATGTGACGCGTGAAGCATAACTGGGTGTTTTGTATTATAGTCATAATTGGAGTTAGACAATCTGCCACCGACACGAATTATGTTTTCATTAGATATGAATGGATTCAAGTTTAAGATTTTTGATTTTAAGTGTAGTGGCCTTTCATTACATAAAGAACCCAATTCGTCCGGAAAGTTGTCTGTCTGAACAAATCTACACAATGCATAAGTGGCACGATTCAATTCATTCACTTTTAGGTGACCGCTGAATTTATTACTAGGTTTTTGACAATTATGTATGAATCTCAATAAGTAAGCTGTGACCCGCTGTAACCTATTAAAATCTGAGTAATTTTCATAATAGTTAAGTTGCGCAGAGGCCAGTTTACACTGTAACTTAGTTTCCGGTAAATCAGTCGGTGTATAATTCAACTGAGTGGGCCATTGAGACTCAGCTAGCAACAAATATGATGGGCCGGAGAACCACAGTGATGAGCACTGTAACTGTTTGGCGTTACACCCCCTAGAACCGATGTCAGCCGGGTTCAAATCGGTAGGTACGTATCTCCATACATCTGAGTCAGTGTGATCTGTAATTTCATTAATTCTATTTAACACGAAGGTCTTTAAGGTCGACCTGGGGGTTCGAATCCATCCTAGGACGATTGCAGAGTCGCACCAAAACAAACAACGATTTATTGTAAGTCTTAATGCAGACTTGACCTTTTCTACAAGCCTAACTGCTAATAATGCGCCACATAACTCCAATCGAGGTATCGTAGTACCTTTTAGGGGAGCGACCTTGCTTTTAGCCATTACGAGTTGTACAGTAATGCTACCGTCTGCGGACACCGTGCGTAGGTATACACATGCACTATAGGCATGTTGGGATGCGTCGCTAAAGGCGTGTATTTCGATACATACAGGTGAGTTACAAACAATACGACGTGGTATAACAATTTCGTTTAGTTGTGGCAGTGATTTCAAAAATAATAACCACTCCTTTTCAATTTCAGGAGGGAGTGGGTCATCCCACGAGATCTTAGAAGCCCAAAGTGTTTGTAGTACTATTTTTGCTTGTAAAATACAGGGATTAATGAGACCTAGCGGGTCGAAAACTTGACCGATTGTTGATAAAATTGATCGTTTACTAAGTCGAGTGATGGACGATAAATCTATATTATTGACTGAAAATAATAATGTATCGGATTTCCAAGACCATCGTAAACCTAACGTTTTTGCGTCGTCATCATTCACTAGCTTGAGTAAACCATCGTCGGTATTATCACATTCAATATGATTCAAAATTTCAGGAATATTGGAGCGCCATTTTCTTAAATAAAATTGACCAGTTTTAAGTTGCTTAATTACTCCGTTAATAATGTGAATAAGAGTTGTTTTAGAGTCGTGGCCGCTTATATAATCATCTACATAAAAATCATGCAATATAGTTTCGCGTACCAATGGATCTAAACATTCCCTACCTAACTGTACAAGGCAACGGGTGGCGAGGTACGGCGCTGACGCGGTGCCATACGTCACAGTGTTAAGTTTGTATAGTTTAAGTTCTTGAGTGGGATTAAAACGCCACAATATTTGTTGTAAGCATCTTTGTTGCTCGTCGACTAGCACACAACGATACATCTTCTCACAATCCGAAGTAACTACATATTTGTGTTGTCGAAAGCGAATTAAAATTGTAATTAAATCATCTTGTACAGTCGGGCCTATGTTTTGAATGTTATTAAATGACAAGCCCGACGTAGTTTTCGCTGAAGCATCGAATACCACTCTCAACTTTGTTGTGAGACTGGATTCTTTTAAAACACCGTGGTGAGGTAATATGTACTTGTGTTTATCGTCATTAATGATTGTGTCTGGCGACATGTGACCCAAATCAATGTATTCCTGCATAAAGTTGCAATATTTTTCTTTAAGTAATGAGTTTCTAGCAAATCTACGCTCTAATGATTGAAATCTAGTAAGTGCTTGGTCGTATGACTCACCTAATACATCTGGTGACTGTTTCAGAGGAATCTGTACAATAAAACGACCATCCTTTTGTCGTTTTGTTGTTGCTGAAAAATGTAGTTCGCAATCATTTTCCTGTTTAGTAGTTTTACGAGGCGCGGGTACAGATTCTAATTCGAAAAATCTATCGAGTGACGTTTGAAGTTCAATATCGTTGATAAAGTGACAGTGGACTGTATGATTATGTGTGTATTTATTGTTATTATTAGTGCGTTGCGACTGTATTGCACCCGATACAAGCCAACCGAATTTAGAGTTACTGAGTATTGGTTTGTTTTTGCCCAATGCAATACGTTCAGTACCTAGTACATTCCAGAATACGTCGGCGCTAAGTAACATGTCTATCTCGGAAGGCGAGTTAAAGGTTGGGTCGGCTAAATTAATATTGTTTGGAATGTTTAATGATTCTATATTGAAATGTATGGAAGGTAACATTTGAGTTATGTGTTGAAGAATGAAACAATTAACGTTAGTTGTGTAATTCTCTGTGCGGGAGGAAATAGTGACATTAGAACGCTTTGTAATGCGTACAGACTCACGACTTAACCCTTCCACTGCAGTTGAGGTTGAAATAACATTAAGTTTTAACTTTTGCCTCAATTTCTCTGTTATAAAGTTGGATGTACTGCCATTGTCTAACAAGGCACGGGCAGTGTGACGAGTGCCATCACTACCGATCACATTAACGAGTACAGTGGACAAGAGAACGCAGTTGTTGTGAGTAGATGAAAGTACGACCTCACTGTGATTGGAAGTGTCGTCATCGTATGATGACTGCGAGTCGTCGTGATCGACAGAGGCTGAATCTGTGACTTCCTGAGCTTTCAGCGTTGTGTTTTTGTCGTGTTTGGAGGATGCGTCGGGCAGAGCGAGTCGACTCGGCTCCGCTGCTGACGTTACATCAGTGTGTAACATTGTGTTGTGCCATTTGGCACATATCCTGCACGGACCGGACCTACACTTATTAACCTCATGTCCCGAGCGCAAGCAATTAACACAAAGCTTAAGTTGTTTCACTTTATTCATTCTCAAATTAATTGACAATGACTTGAATTTAGAACATTGATAAATGGCATGACTTTGTTTACACAATGGGCACACATGAGAAACTTGTGTTGTATTAGCATTTGATACAAATGCGCGTAAGCGATTGTTTACCGGTTCGCTATGCCGACGTTTCACTGTCGTTAAGTTAACAGTTTCAAGTAGCTCTGCACGTTTCTTAATGAAAGTGATAAATTTGTTCAGATCAGGCAATTGGTCAGAACTACAAGTATGTTCTTTCCACTTTCTACTAGTCGCGTTATCAAGTTTAGTACAAACCAAATGAATGATTAACAAGTCCCAGTTATGCGTGTTCACGTTAAGAGACTCTAAAGATCTTAAGTTCTTTTTGATGCTGTCAATCAGATTTCGTAATGAAACTGACGATTCCTTTGTAAAGGGCTCGATGTCAAACAATGCTTGTATGTGGTTGGTGATTAAAACTTTGTTGTTATGATATCTTTCACATAACAAGCGCCAGGCAACTTCATAGTTGTTGGCAGAAAAATCTACTGAATTTATGACACTTGCGGCTTTATCCTTTAATGAAGATTGTAAATAGTGAAATTTATTAATGCTAGGAATATTGTCATTTGTATGAATCAATGAAATAAAAGTGTCGTGGAATTTAAGCCAATCCTCAAAATCACCAGAAAAAGTAGGTAGTTGTATAACGGGCAAATTCAAAGAAGGCGTACCTGCTGTAAGGACAGTACCTGCCACCGAGGATGTGGCTGCGTCGTCCTTGGCAGGCTGCGCAGAGGTGAACCTGCTTACCCACTCTCGAGCGCGGCCGACGATCGCGAAGTACTCAACCTCAAACTTCTCGCGGTACTCGTACTCTCTCTCGCACTCGGTTTCTGAAATTTCCATCGAACTTTCTATTTCTATTTGTAACGAGTCATACTCTCCGTACCAAGACTCCACGGTGGAAAGTCTGAGGCCGAGATCACTGAGTTGGGTTTGACTTGGTTCGGTTTGATTTGTTAAATTATCTAAAAAGGTTTTAAAATGCGTAAGCTTAGCTTTATACGAACCACGCTTTCTTTTGAGTTCAACTAATTTCGTCATTGTGAATAGAAATTAATTTAGTATGAAGTGGGGTAGTTAAAACTGACAATGAATAAACTATAGCGGTTATGAGAAAATTATAACGATCTGTGTAAAATGTAATGAAAAAAGATACTTAAGCGTAGGTGCAGTGAAGAGAAGATGCAAGCGATGATGAAGAATCAGATAAACTGCGTGGAAGCGGGAAGCGAGGCAACCTGGACCTCGTCTGCGTGCGTCACAGCCTTCGTGGATGAGTCTCTGCTCTGTTGTCCTCGATTTGCTGCTTGTGATAGCTTTCGTGGATGAGCCTCCGCTCTGTTGTCCCCGATTTTGCTGCTCGATGATGACGTGACGTGGTGATGACTGCGCCTTCTTCAGATTTTGAAGTAACGGTTCCGCCGTTGAATAACTTTCCCTCAGTCCAAAGGTCGTTGCCGGTCTTCTGCGTTGTAATCTTGGCTCGAAGGTCCAAAGCTTGGAGGGAATCTTCATAAAAACCAGCTTTTCAGGAACAGTTATTTATTACGATGTTACGAGTACAATGGTGACTTTCAAAATTTAATTAGGAGCGCGGTACGTGCGTGCGGCGCGGTGTCTGACGGCGAGTGAGAGGAGAACGGCGAATGTATGAATACGCCGAACGATGCTCGGGCGCCCTTCAGTGGGGGGCGGAGTTTTGTGCGTTGACAGGTAAACTTAATTATATCAGTTTATTGATATCTTCACCTAATCTTGCCTCTATGGCTTTAGTTCCATTTGCAAACCAATCTTAGTTTACTATAGCTATCTGGTTGCTACGATTTGATCGTTAGAAGCGAGAACACACAAAACACATTTGGCCCTAACCAAAATAAGGAAAACGCGTGGATGTTTGTTTCGCTTTCGGGTTTCACCTCATTCCGGTGTTCCGCTAAATATATCGACTCTTCCTGGATTCAGTGAGTCAATACGGTGATGAAATATTTTAATCATCTAATTATTGTTTTGTGTTTGAAGTGTCCTTTTAGTTAGAAGACATGACCCTTGCTTGTATTAGGGGACGTTTCATTAATCAATTATAATTTATTCTTAAAATGATTAACAGATTGATTTAAAAGTACTGTAAGAGTAATAAAATGAGGGTTTTCACAAACCTGCACAGGTAAGGTTATGTTAGGAATTACAAGTAGTTTCTTAAGGATGTGTAATTTTAGTTCTGGGGAACGAGGCTGTGGAAGTATACCTATCGACCTATTTATATTTTTTCTTCCTGCATTTATATTTTTATATGTCTTAGGTGCCTTTAAATACATAAAAGCAATTTGTATCACAACAAAGAGTAATGTAAAACTATCACAGGCCATGTAAACACGCATAGTGCAAGAGACAGGTTGCTCGCAGATAACCCGCACCAAAACTCGAACGCGATAGCTCGGCTTTGGCGCTCCTCCGCCAATCGCTAGATAAACATATGGGTCACTGAACCGACCTAGTTACGGCGCGGGCGCACCACGGTACGCCCGTGTGCACGTTTTCGTCAAAAATGGCGGTCAAGAGCGGCAGTTGTCGAGGTTTTGGGTTCCGCATACGAAAATAAACAATTTGTGCGGTGGTAATATGCTACAGATGGTACATACATATCTACTCATGATGTAGCCTCGAGTAATTTATTTTAACTGCGCGTGTTGTAAGAGTGCTTGCATAAAGAAGCGTACGGTATGGACTCAAGTACGAGTCGATATACCAGGCTATAATAAAAATAGATTCAGCTATAAACCCATGCCATGGTGCGCAATATCGAAACATAAGAGTCGATGTTTCTTCTTCATACACGCGTATGGCCTGATTAACAGGCATAGGCCAAAGAGTTTCAATAACCTCCACATATAAATTTAAGACAAGGTCAAACTGTTAAAGGCTTAAAACATGTAAATTATCAGTTTTATGTTACTTTACAGGCCCATTCTAAAGGGGCATTTGGAGATGTTTTTTTTAATGAAACTAAATTTTTTAGGACGATTGACTATAGAGAACTCTAAAAGTAAAAACGGTAACAAGGCAACTCTTCAATCAACACACATTTGCGGCAGATGACGCGCATGTCGAAATTACTATGCAAACTCATTTTTTTACTAGATTGTTTAAAAGAGTCTTTTTTCAAAATCAAAAAAAATGGCGACTCTATTTTATGAGCTGATTTTACCATCGTCGGATAACTTTGAACTGAAAAATAAACTTGTCATTTTTACATAAGTATTTCCCATACTGAATCTGTCAATGTGCCAAATTTAATCTTCAGTTAAAAGTTATCCGACGATAATAACATCAGCCCTAAAGGCAGATTTTTGGTGAGATATCTTTTAACTTAAGAATAAACTTGTCATTTTGACATATTTCCCATACTGAAAGTGTCAATGTGCCAAACATGTTCTTCAGTTAATAGTTAATCGGACCACTGAAAAATCAATCCTAATCCAATAGGTTGAAATATCAAACGATTTTTCTTTTTTTCTTTTTCATGCATTGTTACTACGAGTATAGTAGCCGGTTGAAGCCACTTTATCAAATGTAGAGCGCTACGGGGGGGGGTCGATTCTGAAAATTGCTCATACGAATATGACACCATCATTTCACTGACAGATTTAGACATTGTGTCGAAACTGTGGTAGCAATAAGGCGTTGCTAGTGGTTAAAATATCTCGTGAGGTCATCAGTTAGCGGATGGTTAAAAATATTTTGCCTATTTAGAGACACGTGGCAGGTTTGTCAGCAAACTATTTTAAATTTGCCTCACGAAGGAAGTACCTTCTATATTAGTCATACCCTGGGAAAAGTATGTGGAGACATGCAATTAAATGCACCTTACGTACTAATTAGAAGTGAGTGGCAAATCGGGAGGCTAGTTTCGACCTTTATAGCTATAGATTTAAGACTTATTTTCTGATAGGTAAACTGTTTGACGTTTCTTGTTGCGTAAAAAGTTATTTGTAATTGAATAGTATTTCTTATTTTAAATTAAGATAAGTAATGCATATCTGGAACCTTTGTTATGCGTAAACACCTGTAAATTTTGCGGATTTGTTCGTGCAACGTCACTTCAACGTTTCGATCCCAGCGCTAGAGGGCGACACTTGCATAGACAAAATGCAACATGGCTGCCAGCGTATAGATCCACAACAAAATATATCTGTTAATTAGCCGATATTTAATTCAATAATACATAAAACTAGTATAAAAATTTAACATATAATACACATATAGACATTTGAACATTAAGAAAAGAACATGTACACATAAATAAAAAGATTACTTAGATAAGGTACATATTAACGGCACAAAATTAAAATAGAAGCGCAGTTCCATATAGAATTAAAAAAAACAAATACGACAAACGACAACTGTTCAAAATTTAAAATGAATGTTTGTAATATGTATCTGTCAATAAAATATGTATAAATTATGTTTAAAAATTATAAATGTTACCAGCAAGTATGTGTTATAAAAATAATTATTAACTTTAAAGTTTCTTTAAGTACTTTTTGATCTCTGGTCAACTCCAACAATGCTTTATTTACTGATAGTTAACTAAACAGGTAAGTGTCTATACCAATTTAATTATAGAGTCAAGTAGTAGGTATTTTTTTAAATTGTTGAATTATTGAAATTATTAATATTTTACAGCATAATTAAACGCCGATAATTGTACGTCCATAAATTAATCTCATTTACAAACACGTGTTTCTACGTGCGGTGTGTGCATGGCCGTCTAATAATAAACGAATGAATGAAACGACGAGACTGCGAAGTGCATGCCAACGTGAAAAGAAAATACAGATAATAAAAAAGCCGAAAGACGTCCACATCATTATCATCTCACCATAAAACATTTTGTTCGAGTGCCCCGGGCCGGCCAGCTTAATAACGTTCGAGTCCATTCAGAGCCGGTACACGGCGCGCGTTTTACAGATCATTTTCATAGAACAGTTCGTCACTGAAACGTGTCATGGGTAAGCGAGTGAGCAGCGTGCTCGCAGCGGTATCGGCGAGCGATGAACAACAACAGAGCCGCGCTCGCGTTGGCGCCCGCACGGAAGTAGGTTAGTAACTAAAGTTTTGTTTGCGTGAGGCTGCGTCGCGGTGCAGTCGCTCGCTAGCGGCGGCGCGCGGCTCCGCTCGCACCGCCCGCTCGCCGCGCATGCCTCTCGCGCGCATCTTTGATCTTTTCACTTTCGGGCCCCGCCGCCCGCCCTAGCCGACTCAAAGCCCCGTAGCCCCTCTATTCAGGATCGCACCCCCGGGAAATTTTCCACCGTCTCTTTCTCGTTTGTTTGTATGCCGGTTGTCACGTAGCGCTGCTATTGGGGCTCGAGTGTCCTTTGGCAAGGTAGACGGATAAGTTGGTAAATAAACACATTCAATAACATCTCATGAAATGTTTTAAGATCGCCGGGTCAATGTGAATTCGATGACCTTGACAGAGATGTTGAAACTACAGAAAAGCGACAAGCAAGTTCTTCGAAAAAGAAAACTTTTTTAAGGATTACCTAGCTATATCAAATACATTTTATTTATTACTATTTTTTCAGACGAACGAAATGAATGGGCAACAGCATCAAGGCTGTAGTACGAGTATTCCGAAAAGGGAGATATTAATGGAGAGGATTATAGTAACGGGACGTGTAGTTTCTAGAAATTTCCAGTGAAATACCATTGAGCATCGGTTGTGGTACATCACACGCATTCGGCGAACGCTCATTGTCGGTGGTTATGTAAGGCGGAGGCCGACGCTGGCCGAGTCAACGTACGGCATTGACACGCGCCGCCCGCGCCCCGCCGCGGCGCTCGACGCCCCTCGCTGCTGAAACCAGCAGCTGCGAAATTGGGTCACGAGCTCCAACGCCACATCGCTTCGACCCACCGACCGCTATAACCAGACACATCGTCACTACCCCAATAACACCAAAGCCGGCTCTACGTATCCTGGTGCTGCGTGTGCAAGACAACATTATACCTTCTGCCGGCTAAAATAACCATTTCAACACACCCGATATCGGACGCGGAATAGATGAATTAACGCCCCTGAAATTCTACCACGATAATACTATATGAATAATTTGCAGCACTAGTCTAACTTACCTACCTCAATGCAAGTGCAATCATATTACATTATGCTTGAAGCATTTGTTTTTATTACGCTTGTTAAATCATTTTTACTTTATGTATCTTTGGAATCATATTGTATTAAACATATACAGCGTCAATGAAAATTAATCTGTCTGAATGGGCAGAGATTTTCATGAAAATTACATGAACATTGTAATGGTTTAATTGAATTTTAATCTATTCTAATAACCCATAATTGCATTGAAATATAATAACAGAAACAGCTTCAACAGTTTCTAATATCAATGCATGAAAACGGAGAAGGAAAACAGCACTGCGCCGGCATCGAACGCTCGAGTCAACGAACGTCATTGAAGGTTGGCGCCAATGGAATATCAGCTTTGTTTACTATCACGAAGGGTTTAAATTGAACTGTGGATGTGGTTCAACCTAGCCTTGGCTTCTACTGGCCTGGCTGACTTAGACATTCTATCTACTTTTACAAGTACATGGGCGAAGGCTCTAGTACTCTTTGGTACTTGTTGGTAATGCACTCCGTACTCCTTCGATGCAATAATTTAATAGCAACGTCAGCTTAGTGTG